TGAAATTGCACACAGTCAAGAAGATATTGAAGGAGTTCCAAAGAGATGTCTATCAGGATAAAGAAAAGAAAATTAAGGAAGGAACATGAAATGTGAAAAGTAGCCACATTGTACCAAATAAAATGCAGTTTGTCCTCAGTAGTTTTAGTCCACGCTGGGTATAGTCTTTCAAACCTGTTCCCAATAAGAGAGGAGATATAGACTGGCTAGCTTTTGCTTACTGGAGGAGGAGCTAGAGAAACTGCTTATATCTGGAACCTCAGGTGGATACCAAGAAGTATCCCTTTGCCCTGTAGAGGAAGGGAATGAGCAAAAGGGCTGCTTTTGATCCATACCATTGTCTTCATAGCTATTGCCCCAAGGAAAGAGAGGGAAAAAATGCTCCTATAGGGAGTTTGATCTGGTTTGAAGCTTACCTTATTGCTGTGTCTGAGGCCTCACTAAACAGCTTTAATGCATCAAAGGGACATTGGATCACAGGGATCTTAGAAATGATTTTTACTTCCCAGGATCACAGCCCAGTCTGCTTCCTTATTATTCCATTTTCTGTATGCCCTTTCATCCGATTCAGACTCTTACAAATCATCAATACCCGCAGTGTGGCCTGGGTGGAAACATTAATATGGGATCCATTGTTTGACATAGATTTCACTGAGCTCAATGAGCTACCTCTACTCTTTGTTTTCAGTTAAACATTGATAATTAAAGAGACTAGCATTTCATAGATTCATAGAATTTTAAGATTGTTAGGATCATCTATTCTAGTCTAACCTCCTACATATGTAGGCTATAGCATTTCACATAGTGATTCCTTTCTCAAGCCTGTATCTTCAGTTCTGAGGTACAGAATCTCTTTTAGAAAGACTTTCAATCTTGATTTAAAGACTTAAAGTAATGGGCAAGTGATGGTAAGTTGTTCCAATGGAGGGGAAGGTTAAAGGACTAGAGACCCAAGTATCAACCCTACATTGCATCAGAGAAAATGAAGACTTTCTGTATAGAAGTCAGCATTCGGCATTGCAAGCACAGCATGCTGAAGAATCAGAGAGGGCAGTGCAGAACAGGGAAGAAAACTGGCAGTATGTGACCTCAAGAAGAAGGAGGAGGAGAATCCATATACTCCCAATGCAGATAGAGCTAAGAAACTGTTTTCAGGCTCTCTGCACAGAGAGGAGAATGGTTTGGAAGAGTCATCTGAAGGAAGGGATCAGAAGGAGACCCCATCGACTGGAAGGCATGGGATGTATTGTCCTAGGGATGGAGGTTCTAAGACCACCACTTCCAAGAGGAGGAGATGGGTGGTGGTGGTTGGGGACTCCCTCATAAGGGGGACATAGTCATCCATATGCCATCCAGATTAGGAAACTTGAGAAGTGTGCTTCTTGCCTGGAGCTAGAATTCAGGATGTGTCTGCCGAGACCGATCAAGCCCTTGGACTGCTGCCTGTTCCTACTTCTCCATGTTGGCACCCATGATACTGCCAAGAATGACCTTCAGCAGGTCACTGCAGATTATGTGGCTCTGGGAAGAAGGATAAAGGCATTTGAGGCGCAAGTTGTGCTCTCATCCATTCTCCCTGTTGAAGGAAAAGGCTCAGGTAGGGACCACTGAATTGTGGAAGTAAATGTGTGGTTACACAGGTGGTGTTGGAGAGGCGGTTTTGGATTCTTCGACCATGCGATATTGTTCCAGGAAGAAGGATTGCTAGGAAAAGATGGGATCCACATAACAAAGAGAGGGAAGAGCATCTTCGCAGGCAGGCTTGCTAACCTAGTGAGGAGGGCTTTAAACTAGGTTCACCGGGGATGGAGACCTAAGCCCTGAGGTAAGTGGGCAAGTAGGGTACCAGGAGGAAACACAAGAAGGAGGGTGCAACAGGGGAGGCCTCCTGATTCATACTGAGAAAGTAGGGCAATTGGCTCGTTATTGTAGGTGCCTGTACACGAACGCAAGAAACTTGGGAAACAAGCAGGAAGAATTGAAAGTCTTGGCACAGTCAAGGAACTGTGATGTGATCGGAAATAATGGAGACTTGGTGGAGTAATTCACATGACTGGAGCACTGTTGTGGATGGTATAAACTGTTCAGGAAGGGCAGGCAGGGGAGAAAAGGTGGAGGATTTGCACTGTGTGTAAGAGAGCAGTATGATTGCTCAGAGCTCCAGTATGAAACTGGAGAAAAGCCTGTTGAGAGTCTTTGGGTTATGTTTAGAGGTGAGAGCAACAGGGCTGATGTTGGGGTGGGCGTCTTCTGTAGACCACCAGACCAGGAGAATGAGGTAGACAAGGCTTTCTTCGGACAACTAACAGAAGTTTCCAGATCCCAGGCCCCAGTTCTCATGGCAGACTTCAATCACCCTGACATTATACCTTGACTTTAGCAAAGCTTTTGATATGGTCTCCCACAGTATTCTTGCCAGCAAGTTAAAGAAGTATGGATTGGATGAATGGACTATAAGATGGATAGAAATCTGGCTAGATTGTCGTCAATGAGTGATTAATGGCTTGATGTCTAGTTGGCAGCCAGTATCAAGTGGAGTGCCACAGGGGTCAGACCTGGGGCTGGTTTTGTTCAAGATCTTCATTAATGATCTGGACGATGGGATGGATTGCACCCTCAGCAAGTTTGCGGTTGAAACTAAACTGGGGGGTAGATATGCTGGAAGGTAGGGATAGGGTCCAGAGTGACCTAAACAAATTGGAGGATTGGGCCAGAAGAAATCTGATGAGGTTCAACAAGGACAAGTGTAGAGTCCTGCACTTAGGACGGAAGAATCCCATGCACTGCTACAGGCTGGGGACCGACTGGCTAAGAGGCAGTTCTGCAGAAAAGGACCTTAGGATTACAGTGCACGAGAATCTGGATATGAGTCAACAGTGTGCCCTTGTTGCCAAGAAGGCTCATGGTATATTGGGCTGCATGTATAGGAGCATTGCCAGAAGATCGAGGGAAGTGATTATTCCCCTCTATTCGGCACTGGTGAGGCCATATCTGGAGTATTACATCCAGTTTTGGCTCCTCCACTACAGAAAGGATGTGAACAAATTCGGGAGAGTCCAGTGGAGGGCAACGAAAATGATCAGGGGGCTGAGGCACATGACTTATGAGGAGAGGCTGAGGGAATTGGGCTTATTTAATCTGCAGAAGAGAAGAATGAGGGGGGATTTGATAGCAGCCTTCAACTACCTGAAGGGGGGTTCCAAAGAGGATGGAGCTAGGTTGTTCTCAGTGGTGGCAGATGACAGAACCAGGAGCAATGGTCTCAAGTTACAGTGGGGGAGGTCTAAGTTGGATATAAGGAAAAACTATTTCACTAGGAGGGTGGTAAAGCACTGGAATGGGTTACGTAGGGAGATGGTGGAATCTTCATCCTTAGAGGTTATTAAGGCCTGGCTTGACAAAGCCCTGGCTGGGATGATTTAGTGGAAGTTGGTCCTGCTTTGAGCAAGGGGTTGGATTAAATGACCTCCTGAGGTCTCTTCCAACCCTAATCTTCTATGATTCTAAATTACCATCACTATATATGTCTTATTTCTAGCCTGAATTATTTTAGCTTCATCTTCTAACATTCAAACATTTTGGGCCTGGGCTTGATAAAGAGCCATCTACTATCAAAAATCTTTTCCCTGTGTAGGTACTTCCAGTTTAAGATCAAGTAACCCTTAAGATTTACTTGTTAAACTGAATAGATTGAGCTTGTTTAATCTGTCTTTATAAGGAATATTTTTCAAGGCTCAAATAATTTTTTTAACTTTTTTGGACACTTTCCAGTTTGTTGTTGTTCTTTTTTAAAGGTTGGCACCAGATCTGGACACATTATTCCAGTAGAATTCTGATTTATGCCATATACAGTGGTAACAACACCTCCCTACTTCTGAAACACGCTAATCTCCTGCTTATACATTCAAGGAATTCGTTTTCTTTTCTTAGTCCCACATAGCATACTGTCAACGCATGTTCAGTTGATTATCCACCATGACCCCCAAGTCCTTTTCTGAATCACTGCTTTTCAGAATACAGTTCCCCATCTAATAAGTGTGACTGACATTCTTGGTTCTTAGATGACTAATTTTGCATTTAGATGTATTAAAGTGCATAGAACCGGTTTACCATGCAATCTGGATCACTCTGTACAACTGATCTGTCCTTATCATTATTTATCTCTTCACCGATTTACCTCTTCACAAATTCAGTAGAGGATTTCCAACAATTATTTTCCTGAGTTTAGACAAATGTTCCCCATTCCCAAAAGAAAAATGAAGTAATATGCTGGCAAGCAATAAGGACAAAGTTTAGGTTGTGTGGCTGTGCTTAGTTTGAAGTAGCACCTTAAATTTCCATATTCTGGTTTTCATAATTTTTTGTGATTTTTGTTTTTAATTTTAAGCTAATATTCTTTTGGGGGTTTTGTAGCAAGCCCTTATGTGAAGATTCCTGTGTTTTTAACTGTTGAATATAGGGTTTCGCTTCTCTCAGAAGTGTACAGTGAGAAGAAAACCCTGTTATGGAAAAGAAAACTTCACTTACCGAAAAAAAAAGAACAAAACCCTTAAAGCAGAGTTATATTTATTAGGGGGAGGAATCTGGGACTAAAACTTTATGCAGTGAGCTGTCTCTTTATAGGATCATTACCTAATAGTTCATTGCAGACTGATATAAGAAGATAAATTTCCAAATAGGAATTACATTTTCTATTAATTGAACAAAATGTAATTGTCCATGTTTCCCCTAATCATTTCACATAATATAAAATACTCTGAATTAGGAAACAAAGTGCCACAATTTTTATTATGTACACACTGTACACCCAAAGAAGCTTCAGAAGTGTTGCTAGTAAATAATTGGCTAGATTTTGTGGCAGTAGGTACTGTATGACAGTTAATCAGCATTTGGCATGTGAAGCTTTGAAAACCTGACATGAAATGGCTTATGTTTTAAAATGTGTTTTTATTTGCTATTAAAGTATTGCTTTATATTAACATTTTTCAAAATCCCAACAGGAAGAAATGGATAGCAACCCCATGGTATCATCTCTTCTTAATAAGATAGCAAATTATACCAATCTGACTCAGGGAGTGGTAGAACATGAAGCAGATGAAGACAGCAAACGAAAAGAAATCAAGGTATCCAAAATTTTGAAAATTATAATTATTGTTATTATGTAGTATTTTCATTACAGTGGTAGGCATTGTGTAAACACAAGGGAGGCATGGTTCCTGGCCTGAACAGTTAATCCTTTTAGGGCTGGTCTACACTACAAAGTTAGGTCAGCTTAACTACGTCACTCAGGGCTGTGAAAAAATTCACAATGCAGGCCTGCTCTGCACTAGGAATTTACATTGGCATAGCTAAATCTCTCAGGGGTGTGAAAAATCCACATCCCAAGAGACATAGCTATACCAACCTACCCCCACATAGAAAGTGCTGGGTTGATGGAACAATTCTTCTGTCAATCTAGCTAGTGCCTCTTGGAGAAGTTGATTTACTACATTGGGCGGGGGGGGGGGGGTGGAAGGAGTACTTGTGGCACCTTAGGGACTAACATTCATTGGATGCGATGAAGTGAGCTGTAGCTCACGAAAGCTTATGTTCAAATACATTTGTTAGTCTCTAAGGTGCCACAAGTACTCCTTTCCTTTTTTTGTGGATACAGACTAATACGGCGGCTACTCTGAAACCCGTACATTGATGAAGGATCCCCTTCCGTTGCTGTAGTAAGTGTCTGCACTATAGTAGTGCAGCTGTAGCTGTGATGCTTTAGCACTTGAAGTGTAGAAGTACCCTAAGAGCATGTCTAGATTGCAGCTGGGAGGGTCCTTCCCAGAATGTATAGACAGACATGCACTACCTCTGCCTGAGCTAGCCAGCTAAAAATAGCATTGTGGCCATGACAGCTTGAGCTAGCCACCTGAGTATGTACCCAGGGGTCAGGCAGGTTTGTATTCAGGTGGCCAGACTGAGCTACCACCCATTCTGCCTCTGCCATGTTGCTATTTTTAGTATGCTAACTTGAGCAGAACTAGTGTGTGTCTATTTACCTGTGCTGGGAAGCACGCTCCCAGCTGCTGTGTAGACATAGCTTAAAAGACAAACTGACTAAAGGTAGGGGAAAGGGGCACAATGCACAAAGTGGTTAAGCTGGTGATAGAAAACATCTTAATAAATTATTAGGGCTGTCAATTAATCGCAGTTAACTCATGCAATTAACTCAAAAAAATTAATTGCGATTAATCGCACTTAAAACAATAGAATGCCAATTGAAATTTATTAAATATTTATGGATTTTTCCACATTTTCAATATTGATTTCAGTTACAACACAGAATACAAAGTGCACTACGCTCAATTTATATTATTATTTTTTTATTATAAACATATGCACTGTAAAAATGATAAAAGAAATAGTATTTTTCAATTCACTTCATACAAGTACTGAAGTGCAATCTCTTTATTGTGAAAGTGTAACTTACAAATGCAGATTTTTTGTTTTGGTTACATAACTTCACTTAGAAACAAAACAGTGTAAAACTTTAAAGAATACAAGTCCACTCAGTCCTACTTCTTATTCTGCCAATCAATAAAACAAACAAGTTTGTTTACATTGACAGTAGATACTGCTGCCTGCTTCTTATTTACAATGTCACTTGACAGTGAGAACAGGTGTTTGCATGGTACTTTTTTAGCTGGCACTGCAAGGTATTTACATGCCAGATATGCCAAATATTTGTATGCCCCTTCATGCTTCAGCTACCATTCCAGAGGACATGCTTCCATGCTGATGACTCTCATTAAAAAAATAATGCGTCAATTTTCTGAATATATTTCATGTTATAGCAGTCTTGGATGATGACCCAGCACATGTTCATTTTAAGAACACTTTCACTGCAGATTTGGCAAAACGCAAACCACAAAAAAAAAAGAAAAAAGAACCTTCTTCTGGTAGCATCTGACTTAGATGATGAAAATGAACATGTGTCGGTCCGCACTGCTTTGGATCATTATCAAGCTTAAGCCATCATCAGCATGGAAGCATGTCCTCTGGAATGGTGGTTGAAGCATGAAGGGACACACGAATCATTAGCGCATCTGGCACGTAAATATCTTGCAATGCCAGCTACAACAGTGCCATGCGAACGCCTGTTCTCACTTTCAGGTGACATTGTAAACAAGAAGCAGGCAGCAGGGTCTCCTGCAAATTGTAACCAATTTTGTTTGTCTGCGTGATTGGCTGACCAAGAAGTAGGACTGAGTGGACTTGGGGGCTCTAAAGTTTTACATTGTTTTATTTTCGAATGCAGTTTTTTTGTTTACATAATTCTACATTTGTAAGTTCAACTTTCATGATAAAGAGATTGCACTACAGTACTTGTATGAGGTGAATTGAAAAATATTTTTTTGTTTTTTTACCGTGCAAATATTTGTAATAAAAAATAAATGTAAAGTGAACACTGTACACTTTGTATTCTGTATTGTAATTGAAAGCAATACTGAAAATGTAGAAAAACATCCAAAAATATGTAATAAATTTTAATTGGTATTCTATTGTTATATATTGTTTCTAAGGCCTCTAAGAAGAGGGCCGTCTCCCCTACACTGTCCAAATCAAGTGAAACTCAGTGCCCCAACACAGATATGTTAGGAGTTCACAGGGAACATGGGTCCAAACCTTTGGTACCAAGGGCCAAGACTCCCCTAAACAGACAGCCACAGAAGGGGCAGCACTGGCAAGAGAGAAGAGGGAGCAATCACTGGCTGCACAGTTGGTACCACAGTGCAGCAGCAAAAAGGATTCAGCAGTTCTGATGTCCACTGCCCAACCTAAATCAGTGCTATCCGCTCCACCAAGAGGTAGCAGATCCTCCCACTCACCTTCTGCTAGATCAGGGTTCACTATCCTGGATGACCTGGCTATTTATTCTGACTCAGAGTTGCTGATATTTGTGGAACTGGTCATCTCCAGGGAGATACCCACACTGCTGGTGCTCCATTCACCAATACCGTCAACCAGCCGAGGGAGTTATTTCAAGGCATACTCTGTCTCCGCCAGTGCCAATTCCTCCAGTGAACTAGAGACTAAGACAGTGCTCCCGCTGCCCACTCTGAGCCACAACATTAGCCCAGATAGGGATTCCTGACTCTCCTGGGCACCCTCACATTCCTGAAAGACAATCTGCAGGGCTTGAGATCACTGGCATCTTCCCCCTTGGGCATCAACCTCTTACCCTGGTGGGATTCCTGGTATTCCTACGGCAGGCATCTTGACTCACAGGTATCTCGGGGAGGTACACACACAAAGATCACCATAAAGGGAAGATCTTCAGCCCCCTCATTATGAGGAGGAGAATCAACCTGAGCAGACAAACCACTCAGTTCCTCTGTGGCACTTTCTTCCTCATTCCCTGATGAGGCAGTGACATTGGCTTCTCTATTGCCACCCGATGACTACAAGCAGTTTCAGGACTGCTTGCTGAGGATTGCAGAGTTGCTACAGATTCCCCTGGAGGGAATCCAGGACTCTACTTATGAGCTGCTTGACATCCTTCAAATTGCAGGCCCTAACAAATAGATACTTTACATTAATGAAGCGATAATGGAGCCAGCCAATAGGATACGGCATATCCCAGCCACTTGTGCCCCCACCCTGAAGGGGGTTGAGAGAAAGTACTTTGCACCATATAACAGGACAGAATATCTATTTTCTCATCCTGCTCCAAACTCCCTGGTGGTTCAGGTGGTTACCAAACTCAACAGGCTACACCATCTCAAGTCTACTCCTTCTGATAAGGATGCTAAAAGACAGGACTTGTTCAGGTGGAAGAACTTCTCTGCCAGTCTTCGGTTCCACATTGCCTGTTATCATGCTTTATTTTCTACATAAGATGTTATTAATTATGACAAACTATCTGAGTTCAGCAACAAACTTCAGTTCAGGCCACAATTTCAGGACATCATCGGTTAGGGTAAACTAATAGCCAGGTTGACACTCCATGCCTTGTTAGACATTGCTGTGACACTTTGCCCTGCTCACAGAACAATGGCCTTACTCTGGCTTCCATCATCCCACTTACTCCATGCAGGGTGACCCCAACAATTTTTATGGTCCTGAATCTGCCCAAAACCATCTCCCCTGCAGTGTCCAGTCCCTCTTAGTGGACACTCACAGAGGTAACACCAAATTCGCTGCCTCAAAAGAGCCAGTACACACAACAGCTTGTTCTCCTAGCTAGGGTTATGCACTCCTCCTTAATACACAAAACTAAGATGGTTGTGTAATAAAACAGGAATAAGTTTATTAACAAAGATTTAAGTGATTTCAAGCAAGAACGAAAGAGATATGAAAGGGTTACAAACAAAACAAAACAAAAAAACCCACTTTCTAATGTCTAAAACTTAATTCTAGCATGATACAGCTTTGCCTAACCTAATATCTTACTCACACCAAGTAATCAGCATTCTCCAGCTTGATTAACAAGAGGACCAATCTTTCTTATATACAAAGCACTGACTTCTTCTCTCAGGTGATGGATACCTTAAAGTCTTTCAGCAGTTCCTTACATCTCCCAAATTTGTCTTTGTCTTCAAAGTCAGGAAGCCATTCTGGGGGCTCAACTATGTGTGTCCACCAGGTAGCCAATGCCACGTTAACTTTGTCATCTCCTGTGGTTTATGGTGTAAATGATCTTCCTGTAATCTCCATTGCAAACGAATAGCCCATTTTACCAGTCCCTGGTCATACCTGGCATGGTTTGCAATTGAGCCAAAGAGGTGTTTGCATTTCTTCTTTGTTGGGATACAAACTGTTTTGTCTCCTTTGTCTGTTTATGCTCTCCAAAACATAGTATCAGACAGTATCCATAATTTCACATGCAGTGTTGTTACATATATTTCACAATGACATTAACGACCAGTGTGGTATTAGTTTTCAAGTAATGTATTACAAATCACCTTTTAAATAAATATGAAACCTGTGTGAGAGGTGTATTGAGCTGGTCAGACCAGGTGATATTTACTGTTACATACCAGGTGTATGTATACCATCTGGTGCTGGGGTGCTCTTATGGTCACAGATCATAATTCTGCTTCCTGCTCCATGGCAACTTCAGTTGTCATGAAACAGGCCTCAT